ACAAGCACACGCCTTTATGTGGGTTACGATGCATGTTTTTATTGCAGTAAATTTCTCACCTTCAGTTATGATTTCCAGAATACGCTCTTTGAATTAATGTCGTCTTAAAAATTCTGCGGGCGCGGTATGTCTCCGCACGTGGTCAAAGCTAACGAGTTTTTTATTTTTTTAAAAAAGAGAGCCATTTTCACCCTCAAGCTGAGAAAATGAAGGAACGGTGTTTTTTTTTCCTCTTCTCAATAATACTTTCTTGTCTAACATCACCACCAGACGGCTCCGCCATGCCGCGTATGACGTCCTTATTCACCCCTGGCACTTTACGATTTTTGCTCGGAGCACCTTTGCTCCCGTAATGAAAGGCAGCCGGTAACAACATGTTGGGAGTTTTGCGATCTTTAGCGTCAGATGCCACGTTTTCTGAAACGAATTTCTGCTGTCCCGTTGTCAGTCCTCCGGGTTTGATGTTACTCGTAATGTAACTTGAACATGCGCACACGTGTAATACTCACACGTTGAATACTCCCACATGTGTACCCGTTAGTTCAGCAAGACTGTCTTACGAACCTCTACCCCACACGTTATTCTGGCCAAAGGCAAACAGTAGTTCATAAACGGTTTAAACTTTATATATGAAAGGCTGTCTTTCCGTGACTACCAATTATATATAAGTTCAGCCAAATATCTTTTTCAGTGCTTTATAAACAGCAAGGATTGTAAAGGATTGTAAAAAATCACTGAAGCTCGATTAATTAAAACAATACAACGCACTATACCTCAGAAAAAAGCCTGTGTGGATCCTGACAGCATCCAGTCATAATCTTTAGTCTTGCTTGGCTGTTCACTTTTTCCTCTGGAATCACCCTTGTTCACTAGTTATATTCCAGCTTTTCTAATTAGAGGATAGATTGGTGTGTCATCTTGTGTTGCAGGCTTTTGAATATTTATGACTACATTTATTATTACTCCAAACTTAGTCCTTTTTCTTCTCTCCCTGACAGATACATCCTGGGTACTAATTCTCAAAAATTGAAGTTTTTACTTAATAAACTACATTAATTAAGCCACAGACGTCTGTAGCAAATACTGTCCTAATTTCTATGTTTCTCTGAATGTACAAGAAAAGGGTCTTAGCATTAAAAGAAAATCTGCATCTTACATTCTTAAAAAAACATTTATATATAAATATATACTGACACATACACACTTTACATTGTATATATTTAGTTACTAAAATATACTCTAAGTGGGAGGGATACAACTTTTCAACTGTATTTAATTCAGGGAATAAGAAATAGTATATTAGTCTAACCCTCTTTTGGGCAAGTCTGTTTCCTCTTTGCAGTCTTTGTCCCAACCGAGTTGGGATGGATGGTTTTAGTGACCAAGGTTAACATGAAGAATCTGCTTTGTTAAAGTACTCTCTGAATACATGGGCAGCGGGCTGAATTTTCTAACACTGTACAGACGGTATATTTATGGAAGTTATTCTTTTTTGTTTTTTTTTTCCTTTTTCTCTCAATGGTCGTGTATAGTACTAGTCAAGTATTGCAACTACCCGTTCCCTGTCTGACTTGCAGACAAGGTGTAAATAAGGCTCTTAAGAAATTGTCTGTTTGCCAATAGGTAACCTTTTTAAACATTTGAAATGTAAGCAAAATGTTTAAACTACTGCATTTGTCAATAGTATCAATTACTTTTGTCCCTCATGTTCTTAGGATGGGGAAAAAACAGGTGTATTTTGATTTTTATTTTGCATGTGAGCCAGTGTTTTGGATCAGAGAGAATACTTATCTCGTATTGAGCTACTGTGAGACATTTTGATTTGAATGTCTATGAGGAATGTTGGAAACACTGGAAATTATGCAAGACAAAAACCTGTCACTTTGACAGACTAGGAGACTTAAAAATGACATGAGCCATTTGCTAAGAATTAGGACACCCAAGATATAGTATGTATCTCTGGCGCTGCTGTTTCTTAGCTTAGGCATAAGCTTTTAACAATTTGTGTATAGTTGAATAACAATGTGCACGTATGTGTGCGTGTGCGTATGTATGCGTGTGTGCATCCGTGTTTTGTCAGTCTTTGTCGCTATCATGTTTCCCAATTCCACTTTATGCTTGTAACTCCATTCTTCATCGTGGCTTTCCTTCCCCCGAAAAAGTCCATAGATTCGATGTTTTGTACAGGTTTAAGGCTCTGGCTTATCTCTGTAAGTAAGAAGACAAAAGGAAACCCTCAGGGACGAGTTACATACACTGCTCTAACTCAATTCAGGTACTTTCTCGAGATTCTGAGGCCTAGCAGTGACATCTGTCTGTTTTCTTTTTGTTTGTTTTTTTTTTTCTTAGGTTAACCAAATTAATCTCAACGTAAAAGGACAAGTTGCCATTTTTTGTTAACGTTATATCCTTTTATATGCGTAGGTGTGTGCGTTTTTAATAGATGCATGCATGCATTTGTACACACAGACCTGCCACAAAACCATGATGAATGTCAATTTAAAACTCAGTTTGGGTTAGGTGTTGGCCAACTGTGTTTTTTATTTATTTTATTTTTTTCCGAGCTGCATTTCGATTCTCCAGCACGCCGTGCCTCCGATCGCCAACGCTGTGGCATTCCTTTCTTTAACCGCCGCTAAACGGATCGGTGTGAGGCTGCTTTTCTGGGCGTTTGTCGCATTTGTAGAACATAAGTGTCTCCTGCTGTGAAGAGTGCTTTGGTTTGGAGGACCTGACCACAAGTGGTGTATGGTGACGTCTTTGGCCTTTTGGCAAGCTTTGGTTTGGTCCCATGTGAATGAAAAACTACAGATTTGCCCCAGACTGTTATCCGTCCAAGGTTTTTCTTTATTTTGTCTTGTATTTTGTGGCTTATTATTATTGTTGTTGTTATTATTATTATAATAATTATTATTATTATTATTGTTGTTCTTCCACCCTTCAGCCATTTGAAATACTGTATGGTGGCATCTTTGGCCGTTAAAGAAATGAAGCTACGAACTGTGTAGTAGTTTTATGTTCAGAGAGTGATGGGGTTTTGTACAGAAACAGACAGATTTTTCTTTTGTCACTTTGTGAAAATATATCTACAATTGGATGTATTTCCATATGGAATGTGATTGATTGATTTTATAGCAAAATGAGAAAACAGTTCACCCCTCCCCCATATTTCTATAGATTGGTCAAGGGGACCATCACTCTCTATCTTTGTTTCTTAACTTTAGCTTGATTCTTCTGTGGTGCTGGTTTTAAAAAATATTCTGTTCAGATAGTGGCAGTTATGTGTTTTTGAACGTAAAGAAATGAATGTGTGGAGGACTTTAAAAAAAGAAAAAAAAAACGACTGTGGTCAGCAACAACTGAAACTCTATGTACTTAAACACCCCCCCCCCTTTTTGTTTTTTGGGTAATTGTGGTATCTCCATTCTGATATACCTCATTCCTTACATTTGACTGACAAGTTCATAAGAAAAAAATGACCCTCGTCTCAGTAATTCAGATGATCAAAAGCAGGCACTCCATAACCTTAATGGACCTCATTTCAATATTTTTACCGTTTACAGTTTGTCAGGATTGTATAATTTAATGTTTTTCTTGTACTGTAGTTTTATTTAAGTACATTTTTTGTACTGTGTCGGTTGGATTTTTATTCTAGGCTATGATTGTCTGTGGTAGAGCACTTAAAGGATCACAATAATTTATGTTGGTTTGATTGCACTATTTGTTAACTGTTTTGAATGCAAAATCTGATTTACAACTGGACTAATGAAAAACATGTCTCCTAATGTATGTAATTTTAAAATAAAATTTGATTTCCATGGTCTTTATTTTGCATTGAACGTCAGGCAAAGCTGATTAATTCCGTCTTTTGTGCATGTGTAAGATTTTACTGGTTATGTTGTATTCTATTAGAAGAAAAAAACGCCATTTTCGCAACACATTTCAGCTGTAATGTTGTGTAAGGTAGAATTCAATGGATGCTAGAATATCTTCTTTTCAAAACCACTATTCTTCTAATAAATTTTGTTGTGAAAATATTTGTGTGGTCCTTTTTGTTTGTTTTTTGGCTTGTTTCGTTTTTTGAATGAGGCCAACAATTTGAAAATAATTTTTTTTAAGCAAGGTTTTCATGTTTAAATTAGTTGGCAATTTCCTGGATGTCTTTCTACCCACAGGGTATCAGCTCCCCCCTCCATTCCCAGTTCAAACTCCTATAAGAACCATAAAACATCCCAAATTTAGTGTGTCTACTGTTTGTTTTGATCTGCCCTGCCTTCGCTAACACAGAGAACATGGATCCAGGAGCACTGTAGCTAATGTGCTAAAAGATACTTATTTAGTGATTTAAGAAAACTTTAGTTAGACCGATATAAGGGTTAGTGGTGTCCCCTTTATGGTGAGAGAACCTGTTAATATATTATGAAATACCTAATTTTCCTGCCCCAAGTAGTTTAAGGCTATGCTACTGGTAGATGGACAGAGTCATAAAAATGTTTGCATTTTTTAGGCCAGATTTTAAGTTCTATAATTTTTTTGGAGCGTTATAAAGCAGATACTTAAGTCTTTCATTAACATATACTCAATAATACTAAAGTCCTTACATGCCCTAACTTGACGTAAGAGATGGAAAAATTGTATGAATATGCGTAGAAATCAATTGTACGTTATTTGCAGGTATTAAAAGGTAAGTAAATCTTCCGGGAGATATGCTTGTAAACATGGTAGAATTATTGTGCAGCTGACCGCTTTGTAAGCCATTGATTTTGAGTGTGAGTCATGCTGACCAGAGTTTAGTTTGGCTTTTTTGTTTAAGGTTGGCACCTTCCATGATTCGGTCATGTGTCTGGTTATTTCGGGTGTGATAAATATCTATCTGTCAAAACTAACTTTGTGAGCTTCTTTGAGGAATGGTATACATCACTTATGTCACGTTCTCCACCTGATACTCAAATTCTCACACTCAGCTTCAGTTTGTTTCCATTTCTGTGTTTGTGTTTCAGTGACTTCCAGAATTTGAGCCCAGAGAAAGCGAGGGATCTGCAGTCTGTGTCATCCCTGAAGCAGTTCATGGCCAAACTGTGTCCTCATCATCAGAGGCAGATTGTTAATGCTTTGGAGTTCCTGCAAACAGAAGTCAGTGCCCTGAACACCCCATGTTCTCTGAAATCACCTGCTGGTGCTCTAGCCTTGGAGGAGACTGTAGTGATGGACTCTGGCCCCATGTCTAAGTCAAGAAACGTTGTGGACCTCTCCACTGCTGAAGCTGTGCTGGTGCCTGGTATCTCAGCTCCTCAGGCTTGCTCTAGTCCAACTCCTCAGCAGGTAGACTCACACATCTCTGAGTCTTTAAAACATCTGTCTCCCATAGATTTTATGGATCAAGGAGGCATACAACTTAATGAGCAGGCAGAAGGAGATCCTGGCTCTAATGTACTCAGTGATGTGAAGAACTCTTTGGTTGGGCTTTCAAACTCCAGTCACACTTTGGTTGGCACTTTGGAGGATAATCAGTGCAGTTCTAAAGCCTCTTCAGACCAGAGCACAGAACCACTCCACACAGCATGTGACCCTTTTGACTGCCCTATGGGAAGCAGTTCCCAAGGAGATGCCAAAGATTTGCTCACAAACCCTAATCCAGTCAAAAGGACCTCAAAGTCCATTTCGCCGGCATCTCCCAGGACAGCTAGAAAAAGTTGTAAAGGTCCTCATGCTCAAACCAAGGACTCTTCTATTCGACAGGTGATAAATGACCCTGATATCAATTATGACATTGTGTACATTAGAAAACCCATAACGGAGATTGAGCTTGAACCGAAGAAACACATCTCCCCACGCCGCACTGCTCGGAAGAGCACTAGAGGCTATAACTTTGTTGAGGACTTTTTGGAACTGAGAACTGTTCGTACACTTGCTAGAAAGTCTTCTGAAATCCAGAGAAATGGCAATTGTCCTACTCCAGTGGCAGAGGTTGAAACTGTGACCCCCAAACAAGCATTTTCCAAGCCTGATGCAATCCCACCCGTGGATGTACCATTTGTCGGTGGTTGTGGAGAGACTGCCGGTGAAGGAGCACCTACCGAGAAGGCAGTTGAAACCAAACATACCGGAGATGGTGTGACAGAGGGGACGGAAGCAGATCCAACTGTAGAAACTAGTCAGACAGATCAGCCAAGACCTAGAGGGCTGACGCCATCTTCTCCGCAAGGAGATGAATCTCAACCTAGTGTGGAACTCGATCCAATGGGTCAAGCTTCACCTAGAGGAGACGTGTTCTCCTGCCTTTACGAGGATGAATCACAGCTCAGAGTAACGACTAATGAAACGGGATCGCTTCAACCTGAAGGTGAGAAATATGTCTCTTCTCAGGAGTCAGAGTTAGTACCAGAAGAGAATCTTAAACTGGATTTTGTCCCAGACCGTAAAAGCAAGGATGAGGGCTCTGAAAAACACAAAAAGGAAACTGTGATCCTGCTTTCTGATCAGCCAGTGAGCGTGACAAAGCACGCACAAGACAATTCAGTACCCTCAAACATCACTGATGCCAGTGAATCCATTCCAGCTGTAGCACCAGAGGAAGATCCCTTCCTTATCAGGCCAGTTACAGCTTTAGATGGAAGTTCTCAAGTAACACTGGAAGAATATTGTGCTGATGTAGAAGGAATTAGCTCATGTAGTGATGTGCAAGTGACAATTCTGCATCAGTCAGAGAATGAGGAGTTGAACATGTTGACGACATGCCTTGGAAACAATACAGAGCCCGTAGCAACTGAAGAGCAAGAAGATACTGAAACTGAGGTCACAAGTGGAAAAGATGAGACTGAGGAGAAGCTCCCTTCAGTGATAGACTCTGCTCTAAGAGATGATGTGAGTGAGCCCAAATTTCAAGAAATGATTGTATGTAACATCCCAGAAAAAAGTCAAAGCTTAAAAGAGAATGGCAGTAAAAATTCTGATCGATGTTTGCGAAGTAGGGTCCAATCTGTAACACCTTCCAGAACCGTCAAGAGAACTTCTAGTTCTATTAAAGGTTTTCAAGAAAATGATCCTGAAAGTACTGCATCTGAACAGTCACCAGTTACCAGAACAGTACCATCTGATTGTTTGCCCACTGCCTTTGATAAGACAGTTCTGGAAAGTGCTGAGGTTCCTATAAATGAAAGTCAAGCTTCATACTCCAAATCCAATGATTGCCAGGTGGAAGACAATAGGGTACAAACAAGACAAAACTACAAATCTGTGTCTCATGAGGAGCCTGGGAAGAATGGGGGCAATGAGTCCATCAGTACGATTGATGGTACAAACTTTCAAAAAAGAGAAGCAAATATCTCTGAAGAAATTGCAGTTGCGACTGATTCAGTGAAAAGTGACATTCCAGACCTTGGCAATAATGTAGCCTCTGAAGGGGTTTCTTTGGAAGATGTGCCCATGAGGAGAGAGAGTAAACGAATAGCTAAATCTGTTAATTCTGGTATCTTAAATCAATCCAGTCAAGTGGTTCTTAGATCCCAGTCTTCAAAGGCTTCTGGAAGACCAGGGGAAATCTCTGCACACAAGACAAATGAACGCAGACATGTTGGCTGTTCTGTCAAAGCAACAGTGGGAAAAGGCTTACAACCACAGAAAAGTGTTTCAGATTCTTCTGGAATCCAGAGCCTTGAAGTGACTGCAGAAAACTCTCCAAAGTTTTTGGAAGCTCTGAGGGGAGAAGAGACTCAGCAGCTAATCGGTAAGCTAAATACCAGGTACGACAAGATGCAGAAGGGATGGATCCAACTAGACAAAGATGGGCAGGCAATTTCAAGGCCACGAAACAAAGCAGACCGACTGAAAGATATATGGAAGAGCAAACGAAGGTCGCGGAAGCCGAAATTTTGCGATGGGCAAAAATACTCTCCAGTACAGATGCTCTTCATGAAGACATTTGACCTTGCTACAGTCTGCCACTGGTTTTTACAATCCACTGAAACAAGGTCACTTGTCATTGTTAAAAAGGTCAATAAGCGCCTCCCATCTGAAGCTCAGCTTGGTTTCTACGGTTCCTCTGGCTTGGCAAGTAACTCCCGAGCTCTCTTCCCTAGCTTACAAGCTGAACGTTTAAAAAAGCATCTAAAAAAGTTTCCTGTTGCTTCCCCAGTCAAAAGCAACCTCAAGAACCAGCAGCTCATAGCTAAGACCCGGGAGCACAGTGGCTTTTCTGGCAAGGAGTCTGTAAAGACGGAATTGACAACTGCTACACGAATCTCCACTAAACCCAATCCCCAGCATCCACCATCCCGCTCACAGGCTGCAGCAAGTGCTAATCTCCCTGCTAGGTCCCGGATTCTAAGGAAATATTCCAACATCCGAGAGAAACTGCAAGGACAACGACAGAAACTGCAGCCTGGCAAAAACACCTCTGTGAAAACTGTACTCTCGCCACAGCCCAAAATAAAATCTCATCCCCAGGCATTAAAAAATACTTCACAAGATAGTAAATTAAACAAGAACAGAGACCAGAAAGCGAAGAAGCCAATGACCCCTTCTAGTAAAAAACAGCTTGCTAGTGATGTCGGTCATGGAAAACAGGCTAAAAGCAGAAATGACAGACTGTTGATAGATGGCAAAGATGACAAGATGCCGGCCAGGGCTGCTCCATCGTCACGATCGGCTGCAAAACCGTCTTCGTCAGTAACTTCGAAATCCAAAGGTAAAGCTGAAGATCAAATCGCGGCAAGCAAAAAGGCAAATGTCTGCGGGGTGCAAAAACTGAATCCAGTGAAGATGAGCTCTAGAGATCCAAAAGAGCTGAAGAAACAAGGTGACAGTAGCGTCAAAGAGATCGGGTGCTTCAAACAAACAAAAGTGGATGTGGCACCATCTCCCTCAAAGGCCCAAGTGCTGACTAGGTCACAACGGAAGATGGAGGCCATGACGACACGGACTGCACCCACGAAACCTGACCGAAAACGTACCTCAAATGTAGAGCCTCCTCCCTTTCCAGCCAAAATGACCAGAAAATCTCTTTCAAAAACAGAATCCTGCCCAACAGCAGAAAATGGACTCCTGCTGTGATCAACAGGAGATGGTCAACAAAGGCATGGATTGTTTTGTAAGAAAATAGTTGAACTATTCGGAAGTGTTGTATTCTTACAAAGAAACAGATACAGATTGTGTGTGTTTTTTTTGTTTTTTTTTTGCTGTTTTCACAGTTTGCTTAATCGTTCAAAGCTGTAAAACAGTAGGATAGTAGCAATAGATTACAGGGAATTTTTTAATTTTAAAACCTGTTGTGATTTTGGAATGCTTGCTAATGTTGAGCGTTGGTGAATGTTTTTCAGTGAATTTTGCTGTTAAAATGTAAAAAATTTATGTTCCTTTATTGCACACTTCTTGGAATCAGCAGAGATTGCATTGAGGAGACTGTATCTGGTGCCTTAACGATGTGTTTCGGATGATATTGTGTGTTGCTGAAGATGCTGGCAGAATTTTGTTTTCATTTGTTGCACACATTTATTGTAGATGGAGCTAGAAAATGGTGTCCATGCAGAGAATCCTTTGGGGAGTTGCCTCTTTCTGATATTGTGGCATGTTGGTTATTTTTTATTTAAACGTTATTGAAGTAACATTTTAAAATCTTGTACCTTCAGAATATTCAGGTTAGTTTTTTCCTTCTTCAAATTTTCTGGAATTTGTCGGAAAACTGCACGGAGGGGCTGATTATTATTCAATCACAATTATGTAAGTGACCCAAGGGGTATTTTATAATATAATAATGTCCGTAGCAGTTGTTTCCAGTGTGCCAGTCAGAGCAGCGTTTCATGGAATGACCGTGTGACACAATCCTTTGTTTCTTTGGGTTTATTTATTTTGTTTTTATTTCAGAATAATTTAGCTTGGCATTAAGGTCATTGTCTTGTTTAAGATTACCCCTGGCTGGCCCTTCCTTTCTTTGCATATTTATTATTTTCTTCCTCGTGTAGGTGTTAAGCCAGATGGGGGAAAAAATAGAAAATTCTTAACTGTGTGTGTAATCGGCTGTGAAGTGTGCTAACCCTCCAGTTAACAGCGGATGCCGTTTGAGGTCTTTGCTACTTTTGTAATTTACTTAGTCTCTTCCGACAATGTATTTTGGTAACCAGGGAATTCAAAGTTAATAATTTGAAGATGGCTAATTGTCAAACATTTTTTTCCCCCCCCCGTTTTGAAGCTTGCAGACAATGTCAAGCGCTTGGTCGTCTGGAATGCTGGAGGGCCTGTTTTTGTCCCTTGATAAAAAAAAAAATGTTAGATTCTTCTTTGTCTGTGTGTCTGTGTTTGTGCGGGTGTGTGTCTGTGCACGCGCATGTGTGCACTCGTGCATCTGTGTGCGCATGTGTGTGCGCGCGAGAGAGAGACCCAGGCATCTCGGGGAGAGAAGAAAAGATTCAGTGTCCCATAAAATTCTGGGCTGTGAGACTGTCGTACTGGAACCATTTGTTAATATACAAAACCTAATGGGGAGGGTGGAGATGGTTCATACAGAGGTCAGTAGGCATATCTGTAGGTGGTTACATGTTTCTCCTGAACTTTAACCCAGTATGGTAAAGGTAATATATTGCTCAGATAGTATATTAGATATTCCCGAGACTGGTTTGTGTTGGTTGTGTTGGTCAGAAATGGTGGTGACCCCTCATTGTTGTTCTAGACCTGACCACAACATTTGGTAACCCATCTCAGAAGACAGAAGATCTGAGTGTCCAAAGATATCCTGATGTTTGTGAGGTTTAGTTGCGTGATTGCTAATTTTTCTGTAAATGAGAGTAATAATATATATATTTTTTATTTTTATATATATATATACATATACATATACATATGTGTGTGTGTATATATGTATATATATATATATGTGTATATATATATGTATATATATATATTATACGCATATAGCTGTATGTGCATATAAAATGTTTTCCTGTCTTCGTAGTATGAGGAATAAAAATGGAAGCTTGTTCTCAGGTTGTCTTGTCTCCGTATGGGCGGGACAGATCAAGATGGCTTCAGAATGGATGAGTAGGGCCCCATTTAAAATGCATAAGGCGTGGGCCTCTCCCCCGTTACTTATTTACATATTTATTGTTCCATCTAAGCCGTGCGTGTGACTCCAGCATTTTCTGATCTGCATTCGATATCCTAACACGCAAAATACACCAACAGTAATTAATCAGCCCGGTCCATTTTTACTTTGAAGTAATGTTTTTCACATATATTTTCACTTTCAAATTTCCTATAAAGATGTATAAGCTATCACTATAGAAATGCATTATGAGTCAGCTGGGAATGTAATCAAATGTGATTATGTATTAACAATGTGTTTATGGGACTGTGTACTTTTGTAGAATGATATCACCAAGCAGTAGCATTTCTGGAACGCTTCTAGAATTTCAGCCATTTTGAAATTCTTAAAATAGAATTCTTGTTCCTGAACCATTAAGCATTGAGTTTTGATTGAGTCTTTCACTAATATAAAGGGCTCGTTCCCTTGTTTCTCTTTTAGAATCTCGAGTCCTGTCGGGGGGGGGGGGGGGAAGGGAGCTATACCCCAGTGCTTTAGACAAAAAAGGAAAGAGGCCAAGGGGGGAGGATGCATTATATATTATGGGTTCAGTCTATAAATCACAATTTCATTAAATGCTGTGAACTCTGGGTTTTGGATGCTCTCTTGGGAGGTTCAGGCTGCCTGCTCACGCTGCCACCTCATCTTGCCATCCTCCCGCTCTCATTTCCCTCCACAGGACACAGCACATCGCACATCCGCGCGGCTCTTTGATTTATTTGATATTTTTATTTTCTGTCCCATTGTGAGCTGATTTAAATTCTTCAATAGTCGCTTGACTTTTAGGTTTTAATTGTGTGGAATGCAATGAGGCAGCCTAGTTTTTAGACAGGTTTTATGCAACAGAGTGTGGGGTGAGAAGCGTATGTGTTTTATGTGCTGGTTGTGTTTGGCTGTGGGTTTTTAATTTAATGTTTTTTTTTTTTTTTTCCTTTCTTTAATGTGAACACCCGCTTGGCTAAAAGCACCCATTTGCTGATGTCGTCTTGCCTGGTATGCTTACCGCATGCTTTGGAACTGAAAAGCCATAGATGTGTAGTTACTATGTATAGATATATATATAGTACTTCTATATAGATGTGACACCAATGGAAAGATGTTTTAAAGAAAAAATGTGAATGCCTATGTTTCATTTTGCTCCCTGCATTTGGTTGTGTTGCTTTGGCTCAGCTTGTACAGTGGCGTGGATGAATCTGGTTCTCTACCTTGCTTTTGTGTTGTTATCAGTCGAGCAGACAGAAAAAGGTCCTATATGATACGAGGTTATATTTGTAAATCTGACCAAGGAAAAGAATGTCTGTGAGAACAGAGTGCTACTCTAGTAGGTCTATATCTGTGCTTGTATGTCTTGGAGCACTGGCATTCCGGATCCTTGGGAGTGTTGTTCGGTTGCCCCCCCCCCCCCATCCCCGTGTCTTGTAGCGCGTCCGCTCTGCATTACATCCACAGGTTGTTTCCTTTTCCCCGCACTGTGCCTATTTTAATTGCAACTTATTAAAATATTGCTTAAAAATGTCCATCTGTTTTGTTTCTGTGATAATGTGTTGCGTGCTTGACTAACGGAGTAATGAAACAGACTGTAAATGTGATGTAACACATGGATCGCAGGCGTTCAACCATGTTAGTACTGGTTTTTCAGTTATATAAATAACTGTCATTTTTGTTGTATATGTTTTGCGAGCGGCACCCTGATGGTGCCTCGCCTGTATTTGGCAAACTGAGTCCGGATGCGCTAATGGCAGCTCGCAGACGTGCATTCTCATCTGTGCCCACGTGGGGGCGTCTCCCAGGCATCTCAGTCTCAAAACGAGATCCCTATGTGTGTATTTATTCCAGTTGTGCCTTTTTAAAAGTGACGTGCTATAGGCAGAGCTGGTGTCTAGTGGGGGTCACTGGTCGGTGTCATTGGGGGGGGGGGGGTAGTGAGCAGGGCGACCGGTGAAATCATCAGACTCGATGCTCCGAGGAGAATCACACACATTTAATTTTATCGAGGAAAAAAGAAGGGTTAGGGTCTGGGGAAACGGTCGCCGGCGGTTCTACATACATTCAGCATGACGGCAGTTACTGATACAAAAAGAACCCCCCCCCCACCCCCAAACCTCACAAGATTTATGATATCCATTAAGCGTAAAACATCAGCAAAAGACTGGTGGGGTGGGGGGTTTCTAGGCTTGGGATGTTGAACTGGGTTTGTAAGTCACTTGTAGGTGTGCTTAAATGGAGGGGGGGGGGTGTTTCACAGAGCTTTCCAGTAAGAGCTTTGTGGTGGGTTCAGATGCCAATGGACTGGGGGGAGACTGGGGGATGGGGGCACTCTCAAATATCAAAAAACAAATGCTTGTGTCCAGTCCCCGACTGACTATAAACATTTTAACATATAATACATTTAGCTACATTTAACGCATTAATGCAGGTAACTGACGAGTGGCGTGACAGATTTCTACCAGGAAGAAGTCATTCGTGTATCAGAGACGGAAATCCCAGGCGTGCTGAGAATGATGTGCCGAGTGGATCTGACTTCCCGTTATCCGGGCTTTCGTGCCGGAATGACGCGCTACGCCAATATCACTGCAGCTGGATGCTTACTCGCACTGTCCCAGCTTAGTAGCTTGCTCTGTGCCAGTGCCTGGTCACTGGCAGCCCGGCTAAGAACTTACAACCACCTGGTCTGGCCCAGTCAATCACTCCACCTCCTGCCCATGATCCCCCACTGTCAGTAAGCGGTCGGGCCACAACACCAAACTTTTTGCCAACTTAAATGTTTCAACGCTAAAATACCATCAAATCATAACGGTAACGACTCTGCTCCTTTTGGCAGCCTCAAACTGGCCCCTAGCGCCTCGCGAGGCAGGCCCCTAGCGCCTCGCGAGGCAGGCCCCTAGCGCCTCGCGAGGAAAACCCCCAGCGCCTCGCGAGGCAGGCCCCTAGCGC